TCAATAGTGAAATCCCTGCAGCTTCGTGGATGTAGACAAATTGTCGAACCACGTAAAATCTGTGTCTTGTTCTTTCTTGTTTGTTATTGCTTTATATTCTTGATTTGTTCTTCGATTGTGTGTGTTTGTTAGTGGATTTAAATCGTGAGAAATCCCAACATCCTGTTGTTTTGGGTGCTTCTTGCTCCTTTCTTTCTTGCTGCTGCTCCTTGGATTGGAGGGTCTGATTCTGTATTTTTGGGCATTCTTGGAAGAAATTGCATTCTGATTGCTATTGATGGTGTCATGGTCTGCAGCGGGTTTTTGCGGCTGTCTGAAGGCACTATTCACGTGACTGTTCACGTGCACAGTTATGTTGCTGCTTTGCTGTTTTTGTATGTGGCTTCCAGCCGGTTTTTTCTTCTGTTCTTTCAGCTGGATTTCAACTGGAATTGTGCATTTCTGCTGGCCATTCTGCTGTGTTCTGGGCTGTTGTCTCCTGTACTGTTCACGTGCACAGCATAGTGGCTATTCAGTCCCCTTTGGAATATGCATTGTTTCCTTTCTTTGTTTATTGTGCCATGGGGATGGAGGATCTTCTTTTCTTGCTTTAAAAAGATCTTCCATCCCTTTTTGTTTCACATGTGTACATGTTTCCTTTTTGTTTATATGATATTTGCTTACTTACCGAAAAAAAAAAGGTGGTCTATATTAATGGCTGGCACATTATCTCTATGCCCATACATCAAAATGCACAGAAAAAATGCTTCTGCTTCTTGGCTGGCTATGTCTTTATGGATTGACCATGTTCACTTTGGTCACATCCCAGACAAACCACTCCACCACCTGCAGCAGCACACGTACATGATCAGTAAAGGCGCCAACATCACCAAACCCCGCTGCCAACGCCAATGCGGCAACATCACCGTCCCATACCCATTTGGGATTGGAACCGGTTGCGCCATTGACAGCTGGCTTGAGATCAATTGCAACACTTCTTTCAACCCTCCCAAGCCATTCATAGGTGGCGTTGAGGTTCGAGACATATCCGACTCCCAGGTTCGCATTACCAACGTCGTGGCTAACAAGTGCTATGACCGATTGGGTGCGTTGACCCATGAATACATAGCTTGGACCAATTTATTAAGCTCAAGCCCATACAGCTTCTCCGACGCAAATAAGTTCACAGTCATCGGCTGCGACGATTTGGCATTGATTACTGGCTCAGAGTCAAAGGGACGTAATTTCACCAGTGGGTGTGTGTCCGTCTGTGCCAAAGCCGAGGACGTGCTTGGTGGCTATTGTTCTGGCATGGTTGTTGCCAAACATCCATGCCTAAGGGTCTAAAGTACTATTTTACTTCTCTCACTAGTTTGAAGAACCACACCACGGTCTGGTCCTTTGATCCTTGCAGCTATGCGTTTCTTGGGGAAGAGAACGCCTTCACGTTTCGCGGTGCATCGGATTTCTTGGATCCAGACTTCATGAACAAAACTTTGTCTACTGTCCCGACAGTGCTCGACTGGGTGATCGGGAATCTGAGTTGTGCACAAGCCAAAGCTGCAAATTATTATGCTTGCCGAGGGAACAGTTATTGTAATGACTCGGATAGTGGTTTTGGAGGTTATCGTTGTAGCTGCAATCAAGGTTATGAGGGCAATCCATACCTAAGCCCAGGTTGCCAAGGTTGGTTTTTTTCTTCGATAACTATTTGTCTAGGGTGCATAAGTAGGTATGGTACAGAAGTGTATAAATGTTTTGGGTTAATGATGCAAGTTTGTGGTGTCTAATTACAACTAAAATGTTGGATCGATCCCAAAAGAACGACAGTTGAAATAACTGCTCGAAAGTCTTGTGTTTTTTGATATTTTTCTAAAACTAATAAAGGAAAAAAAAATCCGGCGGTTATGGCCAATTAAACAAACTTGCCCCACAATATCACTTTTTCCTTTCATATAGAAATGAAAAATAAATGATACGAATTATAACTTTTTGAAGAATTCGAGACATATTAAAAATTTTAGAGTTCAAGTTATAATTTTTATAGAGTTAAGTTATAATTTTTTTGTGCATTTGGAATCGATCACAAAAATTCTAAAAAAAGGTTATAAATGATTCAAAAACATTATACAGTAATTGTTAAAAAGTCGTACATTGTACAATACAATTGTTTTTAGTAAGGTAGCATTCTTTATTATTTCTGACCAATATGACTTGGTATATTTTGTTTGATAGATATCAATGAGTGTGCAGATCCGAACAGATGTGTGTGAAAATATTTGCATAAACACTCCGGGGAGTTATAATTGTTCTTGTCCGCAGGGACACTATGGTGATGGTAAAAAAACTGGGAGTGGTTGCATTGCTGAGAGCTCACAATTCCCAGTAATCAAGTTCACTCTAGGTAATCATTTACTAAGTTTATTTTCCATTTTTAATGAGAAATCCTATTGCAATTCGCTCTATCTTAAATTCAATTTCCGATCCGACCTAGCAAATTGGTAAGTAGGAGCATCTGCCCAATCTAGACCTTGAACTCTTCATTTTGTTCTAAGAGTGCCACTTTTGTTGTTAGGGAAGACTCGTTTTCATGACTTTAATGTGTCTTTGGAAAAAAAAAAAAAACATGCAGGTATGGGGTTTGGCTTTTTGTCATTACTCATTGGAATTACTTGGCTATATTTTGTCACCAAAAAATGGAATCTTATTACACTCAAGGAGAAATTCTTTCATCAAAATGGTGGTTTATTATTGAAACAACAAATTTCTTCAAATGAGGGTGGTGTCGAGTCAGCAAAAGTTTTTACAGCTGTAGAGCTAGAGAAAGCAACCAACAACTATGCTGATGATCGAATGCTTGGCCGACGAGGTTGTGGTACGGTCTACAAAGGAATTCTTCCTAATCAACGTATAGTTGCAATCAAGAAGTCTAGAATAATGGATGAAAATCAAATAGAGCAATTCATCAATAAAGTGGTTATTCTTACACAAGTTAATCATCGAAATGTGGTGAAGCTCTTGGAGTGTTGTTTGGAGGCTGAAGTCCCTTTGTTGGTTTATGAATATGTGTCTAACGGTACTCTTTACAATCATATTCACAACAGAGGAGGAATGGCTTGGTTATCATGGGAGAATAGATTAAGGATAGCTACGGAAGCTATTGGTGCATTTTCTTATCTTCACTCGGCAGCTTCCAAGCCCATCATCCATAGAGATGTTAAGTCAGCTAACATATTGTTAGATGACCAATACACGACAAAAATATCAGATTTTGGAGCTTCAAGGTTGGTTCCCATTGATCAAACTCAAGTTAGTACTTTAGTTCAAGGGACATTAGGGTATTTAGATCCTGAATACTTCCATACAAGTCAGTTAACGGAGAAAAGTGATGTTTATAACTTTGGAGTGGTTCTTGCAGAACTCTTAACGGGGAAAAAAGCCCTTTGTATGGCCAGACCCCAAGATGAAAGAAATTTAGCAACATGTTTTATCACGTACTTGAAGGAAAACCGTTTATTCCAAATTCTTGATCCTCGAGTGGTGAGGGAGGGCACTCTAGGGCAGCTCCAAACAATTGCAAAGCTCGTAAAGAAATGCCTTAACTAGAATGGTGAAGATAGACCAACAATGAAGGAAATTGCAATGGAACTTGAAGGTTTAAGAAAGTTCACCAAACATCCGTGGGTTCATCAACAAAAAAATGAAGAAGTTGTGGGATTAATGAGTGAGAGTGAACCAGCAGATCTTTATATTGTCCCAACAAGCCCTTACAATAATAATGGGGACATCTCTGGACAACACAGCTTGGACAGTAATCAGATGATGTTCCTGATAAATAGCCCTCGCTGATTGGTCATTTTGTATTAAGTTTAAGTTCTTTTAGACATCCATGTTGTTCCTTTTTTTTTTTCACCTTTAGCTTTCCATAATGAATTTCTATCTCTATTTTATTACTTTCCCTTGTTAGATATTTATCCCTTTTCTCTCTGGTTAAAGATGTTTTCAGTGATGTAATGTTCACTTAACTCCAGTCATGAATTCTAAAGATGCAATGAGCTCAAGCTTCTTCACCAAATGGGTTCCTATTATTTAGCAATCAACCTTTTATAATGGGGGAATGTTATTTGTACCTAATTTAGTAATCTAATTTATTGATATAATGGATAATAGCCATTGAATTGATACTGCGTCTTAACTAATAGTGGGATCCACTGTAAATCTAATGATAGAGAATAATAAGGTCAACAAATAAGATTTATGTAGCATTGCTCTTTATAATCGCATACATTTTTGTAATAAGGTGTTAGAATACATTTTCACAGCCTTGTTAGGTGCTATGACCCATTTAAGGGTCCACCTAAGTTACGTAGCATGTACTTAACAAGGATTTTGCTAGATATTTGGTTCATAGATCATAAATTTAACCTCGCATATCATTGACTTGTTTGTTGCAACTATGAAGAAGTAACAATTATGCAACCGTGGATATTTATCAGATTAGATCACAAAAATTGTCTTTGTTGTGTAATTGTCACTAAGCTATGGATTTGATAATTTGTAGTTGGTTTGTTAGAATAAGTTGTAACTACTAAAAGATTTTGGATTATTAATATATTTTCATACGTCAAAATTGACACAACATAAATAGAAATAGAAATTCGTTATATTATTTCTGAAACGAATGCATTATGACAAAGTTCAAAACTACATTTTTTTCGGAAGGTAAAAATATATTTTATAACACTGGTACAAATAAACAACCTACAGGAAGATAGCCTGTAGAACAACACAAAAAATAATACACAAGTGAGCTGAATTTTGAAGAAAGTGAAGGCCATGAGCCACCACTTCCCCCAAAATACAAAACACAGGCGCAAGGAGCAAATGCAACACAAATACAACAATCCAAAGCAGACAAGCTAGGAGTATTGTTCGCACAAGCTATCAAACACACACAGCACGCCCAAGTACATAGGATTACTCAAGGCAAGACATCCTAGTCAAGTGTTAGCTGGTCCAAAGGATGAGAACAATCCAGGGCAACAAAGAGCACACCATAGCAGATAGGCTCCAAGCCGTGGCAGAGAACAGGCAAAACAGCCCCAATCAACCGCATACCAAGGGCAAAACAGCCCAACATAACACAACAGGACTGCCCCAAGCACCAGCAAACACAACCAACAAGCATCCAGTGATCAGCATTTAGAAAGATCAGCAAACAAACCAGCAAGCAACAACCCCACTCTGCAATAAGGTCAGAAAAGTGACCAAAAAATCGAGAAAACAAAGGAACCACAGAGAAGCGCAGCAGGGATACAGCAACAGAAGGTAGTAGGCACAACAACACTGCAACCAAACCGATCAACCCAGATCAAGGACAACCAGTCCAGCACAACGAAGTAGACCCAAACTTCAAGCAAACAGTCCCAAGCAACAACACAGCCACCTGCAGCATGTACATTTAATAATTGTAATTATTGAAGAACAAATGGAATTACACTTTTTGATCCATTTAACTATTTCACCATCTTCAATTTGGTTCTTTTCTTCGTTACTAAAGGTTTTCTACGACAATGGTATAGTTCCTTTTTTTTTTTAGGATGACATTATGTATGACATTCTAATTTTGTAGGCTTCAGTGATATTATTGTTCCCTCTAAACACAAATATTTTGGTCTTTTGTGTTGATTGAATTTGTCACTAAAGAGTTCTTACGTTGGTGAAAGATTATCATCCCTAGAAAATATAAAGTAGTAGCGGCTATTCTATGTTCGACTTGGTGACGAATTTGTCGTGCCCACCCGATGACCTTTTTTTTTTCTCTCCACTGAGACTTTTTAGTTATGAAATAAAAAAATTTCATGACGATTTTTTCCCTACTTTCTCTTGGGACAAGTCATTATCCGACCGAATTTTCTATAATGCTTATGTACGTCAAGAGAAGTAATTGATCAATGGCCTCAATATGTCCTTGGAGAAATAAATAAAATACTTTTATGACCTATCAACCTTAGGACCATGTAGAAAATATAACAACTAGACGAGAGCAAAAATAATTACGACAAATAAAGCAAATAGGTCTAGAGAAACATAAGCAATTCCTTTATTTTCTCATTCACCTGCTTGTTCTTTATTTATTTTCCAAGTCTTGTGTATATCAAACAACATGGGCATGCAAAGCCTTAATTGATAGAAAGCATTGAGGCCCCAAATTTTTCTTCCAATTTAGGGGTCACAGGCAATGGCCATAGTGGCCTATAGGCTAGGTCGACATTGGCCTTAGCCTCTGTTAAAAATAACATATTAGATATATTTAATTGTTAAGTGTATCTAATTGACTTGGGAATACAAGTGATTGAATCTTGTTATGTGGTTAATGTTTTAGAAAAGTAAGTGATCAAGATATATCTTGAAACCTATATATACGTTGAAAATATGGAATACATGTTTACAAAATTATTCCAAAAACTAAGTTCAACTTCAAAGAATCAATACGGGTCTTCTTCTTGAGTTGTGTTGCTCTTAGAAAGGGTTTAATGTATTCTCTCTCTAAAATGCCACACTCCTCCCTAGCAGTCTGGGGCTACTAATCTGGGCTAAACACGCATGACGAGTTCACTATGAGACAAACACTCTTCCACACAAGGTTTTTGTTGTGATCGTGCAGCAATTATGGTGAATAGTAAGGAATCAAACAATTAAGAAAGCAAGAGAAAATAACACACAGAGATTTACGTGGTTCGGCAATGTGCCTACATCCACGAGAGCGAGCGGCTGTTCTTTTCCTTATTGAAGTAGGGTTACATCTTAAGTATTTATATAACCCTAATATGGACGTATTTACAAAAATACCCCTGTACCGTACCGTGGGGGCGTTGCCCCCGCACCCCCAACTTATCAGCGTCCCCTATATATAAATCCCGCTCCGGCATCTGCCTCCTTGCCATTATGCACATAGCAAAATATGAGCCACACATACTCTAACAATCTCCACCTTGGCAAATATTCACCCCTTAGAAGAAAAAAGAGGACATGTATTCGGGAACTCCACCGGGGACGCTGAGTTGAGGCATCTCCCATCTAGCAACTAGAGACATTAATCAAGTCCAAGCAGTGCTTGAACTTGTCTGTAGTAACAGGCTTTGTCAACATGTCTGCAGCATTCTTAGAAGTGTGAACTTTCTCAAGTAATAGTTCACCAGAAGAAACCAATTCCCTGATCTTATGAAACCTCACATCTATATGTTTGGTCCTCGCATGATACACCTGGTTCTTTGCCAAATAAATGGCACTCTGACTGTCACAATGCAATTGAACTCCACCTTGCTGGGCACCCAGCTCCTTGACTAAACCTGTAAGCCACAAAGCCTCTTTGGCAGCCTCAGCTACTGCCATATACTCTGACTCAGTAGTAGATAGTGCAATTATAGGCTGTACCATGGACTTCCAACAAATAGGTCCTCCCACAAGAGTAAACACATAACCTGTGGTAGACCTCCTGTCATCCAAGTCTCCTGCATAGTCTGCATCCACATATCCCATAACTGAAGGGTCACTCTGTTGTCTGCTAAACCTGATGCCATAGTCTGTAGTGCCCCTCAAGTATCTGAAAATCCACTTGACTGCATCCCAATGCTGTCGACCAGGATTTGAAAGAAACTTGTTAACCACGCTGACAGCTTGTGCCAAATCTGGTCTTGTACAAACCATAGCATACATCAAACACCCCACTGCACTAGCATATGGGACCTTTGACATGTCATGAACTTCATCATCTGTCTTCGGGCACTGAGCGGTAGACAATCTGAAATGATTCGCCAAAGGTGTACTTACTGATTTTGCATAACTCATGCTGAACCTGTCCAACACCTTCTCAACATAGCTATGCTGAGATAGCCATAATCTCCTGGAAGCTCTGTCCCTGCGAATCTCCATCCCAAGAATCTTCTTGGCCGCACCCAAATCCTTCATGTCAAATTCTCTACTCAACAAAGTCTTCAACTTGTTGACCTCACTCATACTCTTGGCAGCAATCAACATATCATCCACATAAAGTAACAGAAAAATAAATGAATCATCATCAAGCCTTTTTACATAGACACAACAATCATACTCACACCTTTTGTAGCCAATTCGGATCATGTAAGAGTCAAATCGTTTGTACCACTGCCTCGGAGACTGCTTCAGCCCATAAAGTGATTTCTTCAAATTACAGACCAAATGTTCCTCTCCAGGGAGACTGAACCCTTCTGGCTGTACCATGTAAATCCGTTCCTCCAAGTCGCCATGAAGGAAAGCTGTCTTTACATCCATCTGCTCCAACTGCATATCTGAATGTGCTACTAGTGCCAACACTGTCCTGATGGAAGTGTGTCTGACCACGGGGGAGAAGATCTCATCATAGTCAACCCCTTTTCTCTGTGAGTAACCCTTTGCTACTAGACGAGCCTTGAATTTTTCTCCCTCATTTTCTGATACTGCTTCTTTCTTCTTATACACCCATTTGCACCCTATTGCTCTCTTCCCCTCGGGAAGTTCCACCAACTCCCACGTCTGGTTCTTATGCAGAGACTCCATCTCCTCCACCATAGCACCCATCCATCTACTTTTCTCTTGGCTTTGTACTGCCTCCTGAAAAGTTGTAGGATCCCCGCTACTAGTAATAAGCGCATAAGAAACCAAATCTTCAAAACCATACCTGGTAGGTGGCTTGATATTGCGTTTGGGCCTGTCTGTGGCTATACTATGATGCTGTTGATCACCTGAGATAGAACGCTCTACATGCTGAGCATCCTCTTCTCTACCATGATTCTCTAGCTCCACCTGCACCACATGGTCATTAGTGCTAC